GAATTGGCTGTTACACAACTAAACTTTGCTGACTGAGGAACAGGACTGATGCAAATGAAGCCCCACTCGGAAGTTAGTGCTGATAGACTACAGCAAAGGACTTATGTGGACCAGACTCTCCTGTCACCTAACTCCTTGCCTTGTCTCAGTGGGTTTACTTGTGGAGTAAAATACCCCTAAGCTTGGACAGTATTGAAATTTAGCCTGTAGTAGGAGACTCATTTGATGGAAGAATATTCTTGGTCATCCAGCATGTTCAAACATGAGGCTGACGATCTCTGGTTGTGATTCCCTTTTATATTGTTCTAGCAAAGCAATATTAAAGATGCCTCACTGCAGCTGAGTCAAGTCCCTGTAACCAGAGCTTTTTAGATGTCCAGAAAGAGTCGAGTACCAAGCTTGGAGCTTGTCATAACACTTTCTCCTAAACAGCTCTTTTTTTGGCTGAAAATACTGTGTTACTTAGATCACTATGTTTTGCAAAAATCAAAATAGGTATATGTAGGCATAAAATGGAGAAAGATTTTCAAAATATTGAAGCACCCCATTTTGACATCTATTACATTAAAATATTTTACGAACTGACCTAAAACAATATGGATCTTTTTTGTTTTTGAATTTGTTTTTGTTTCTTTGGCAAAACATAATTGAATTTTGGCTTTGTTCTGAATTGGGGCAAAAATCTATGTTGGATCTGTTTTGTAATTAATTCTCAGAAAGAGCAATTTCTTATAGTCTGGAGCATGTATACCTTCCGTATTAACCAACATGGTAGCATAGGAACACATCCACAGTGATCCTCACAGAAAAGCCCCTTTATAAAGAAAGCAGTAGTCCTGGAACTCAGCATGACGATAATACCAAGTTTTCTAAAACGCCTTCCTCAAATGCTCTTCCCAGTAAAAATAAATACATACCAAAACTCTGTAGAGAAAATATTAATTCATAATAGCATGTAGTAAATGGAACTAGTCAGATATCACAGTAGTAGGAATGGTAAGAAAACCTGAAGAATATATGAACAACAGTAAGTAAAAAATATCTGCGCTTTAACCTTTGAACTACCAGGTCATAAAATGCATAATGTAAAGCTTTTATCCCTAATATGGAAGATTAACTGATTCCTCCCACGTATTTATACTTCCAAGCTGGAAGAGGTTATGATCTTAGGAGCTGCCTACTATTCTGAATGCACACTCAGCACTGTACACCTAAAGTAAAACATGTTCCCAAAATCTGCTTTTCTACCCCTGTATATATTATAACAGGAGAACCTACCTCTTCCACCAGAATGGGGTCTTTTTATTACCAGCATGAACAAAACACTTTGTTCTGCATAAAGACTTTCACTGAAAACACCAGTGGCACACTGTCCTCTAGTGCTCAGTTCAGTTCTATACATGCAGCAACTACGTTTCACGGGAAGGTGAAACATGGGGTCAAGGAAAGCAAAGTCCAAGTGTCCAGAAAAACCCATCAGACCCATCTGAATAGTGCACACTTAAATCTTTCACCTTCTAAGTTCAAGAGTTGCTCAGGACTGAGATGCAATGCACATTGAACACTTGGGTCAGGGCAGGCAGAGGAGAATTCAACCTGAAGCTGACTATCCAGTTTATGGGTGTGCAAACATATTGTTTTTAATGTTAGGAAACTACTCTCACACACCATTAGTTCCCTTGTTGCTATTTTCATTTTGTACCCAGCTAGTGCCTCTAAAGGCATTTCTAAAGGTTGAAGTTTGCTGGCTTTTAAGAGATTCTGGACATATGAGGAACTACCTAGGCACAACCAACCATTTCTGTGATTACCCCACAATGTTCTGGTCATTAAAGCAAAAACAACTCATCAAGGTTATCATTCAGGTGTGAATATGAAACAAAAAAACCACTACCCACATTACAATAACCCAATAACAGAACAGTTGTTCCAATGGCAGCTTTCATGCGACTACTAGCACATGACGAGATTTTAATAATGAAGTCAAAACTAAAATGCGGTATCCGACATTTTTATGACTTGGTGACAGGAATACCCGTGTCCCTGGTCATACAAGCTTAGCACTGTTTTGTAACTTTATCTGAACCTCAAAGATGCGTTCTTGCTAAATACAGCCCAATCTGAACCACCTCAGGGCATGACTGGTCAACATCTGGACCCAAACCAGAGTTTTTAATGTTATCCCCAACTTTATCAAAATCTCAGAGTCAAGTCAAAAGTCAAAATCTCAGGCTTACAAGCCTAAACAAATGCAAAGACAAAGCAGTGGAGGGATATAATGTGCAAGCAAGACAAGATATATGCAAGGACAGGGCATTAGCATTCATATTTACTGCTCAGCTTCCTGACTGCGTCCTCATTTGTCCCTGTCTTTTAGGAACGTCAGAACCTCCTCTTCCTTTAAATTGGGATAAAAGGGGAAATGTGAGCAACAGCCATATAGTCCAAAGGATAATGATGGGTGAAATGACACATTTAGGAACGGAAGAATCTGGTTCCCTGACAAACGTTCAGTATGTGCAAATATCCAGCTGCGTCCCCCCCCTCGATCACATCACCTACAAGATTTTTTTTAACGTCAAACTACTGAGTAAACTAAAGTGTGGACTATAGGATAGGATATCAGCCTGAAATAGGGGGTGTTTGAAATTCAGACCTGAATTTGGAGGCTCAAATCCATTTCCAATTTGGAGCTACCTTTGACAGTTCTGCTCACAGAGCTGAAAGGACACCGTGTATGATAAACTAAATTCTGTAAACTGACCAATGAAAAACCCTGCTAAATCAGAAGCATTAGATAAAATTATAAATATGGTTTTAAGAAAATGAGTCTTATCAACAAATCTGAGTATTTTATGGTAACCCACAGCACCTGCTATTGTAGCCAAATGATAAATTCTAAAGTTGGGTTATGCAGACACTTATGATCCGAGTGACGGGATGATCTAGCAGTGGTCAGCAATCTATGGCCTGTGGCTTGGATGCAGCCCACAAAGGGATTTTATACGGTTCACCAAGCCAGGAGGGCAGTGGCATTTGGAGGTGGGGGAAGCAACAGTGGCAGCAGTGGCAGCTGGGTCACAAGCAGTGGCCCACCTTTGAACCAAGCTGTTCATTCAGCGCCCCCATTGCTGAAAGGTTACCAAACCCTGGTTCAGCAAAGTAAACATTGGAGGATACATGGGTAGCTTCCCAAAATGAAAGTTCTCCATCTCCTCTAATTATAAAGTGGACTAAAATACAACATAGGTCAACAACAGGAAGACTGAATATATGCTGGTGAGAAAGAGTACCATAAACTGAGTCTGCCGGATTACACCTGGTTAAAGGACCATAGTGTCTGGAGCCAGAAGGCATCCAATAAGACTGCTGAGGATCCCACTGCTTGATTTTGGAATATTAATAGATCCTTACAAATGGAACCTGACATTGAACTCAGATGAGTAGTTCAGTCGTGCAGTTTCCATTCTCTGAAGCAGCTGGTTTTGTCATGAATGAACAGTGTTAGGAAAATTTAATCAAACTGTGATGAGTTAGATCCGCTAAATCTGTACATAAATATTTAATACATGAGGTCCTATTAAGCTTTTAAAACACTGAATAAATGTTAGAGTTAACAAAAGTTAAGTGTTGCCAAATACCCAAATAGATTATTTTTTAAAGAAGATTTTTAGTGTATGAAGCGGGATTGACAGGCCTAAATAATGAAATCCTCTGTGCTAAGAGGAGGCAGTATCAGGGGAAGCTGCCCCTTTACCGCCATGCCATGTTATTTCAGAAGAACTGCGCTTTTACAGGAAATAGGAAAGCTCAATCCTTTGCCATGGATTGAGGCGGCAATGGGCAACGATGAATTCAGCAGCGAGAAAATTAATGGCTGCAATCTAGTGGTATGACAGTGGTTCTCATCTGCTGAGTTAACCCCCTGGCTGCCAACTGCGCTGACACCTCACCTTGCAGCACAGGTGGGCATAAGGCTGATGAAGGGACTAGGGCTACTGGGACATGCCCCAGATGCCCCAGTAGCTACCCCCTCCTCTCCCTGAGCCCTGCTGCACCTGAACCCCACTCCCTCTCCCAAGCACAGCTGATTTCTGTCACCAGCAGTAATGGACAAGTAGGTGGAGTCTGTGGTGAAAAACAGCAGCTGCAATAGGGTGGCACCTGCACTCTGGCACCCACTCTAAATCAGTGCCCAGGGCTCGTGCCCAGCTGCTTGCCCACTCCCAGTTACGCTACTGATGACCAGGTGCTTTCTATCAGGCCACCTTTAGAAGCAACTAATGAATCACATTTGAAACAATTCACCGTGTAAAAGGCCTTTTAATACCTCCTAAGCGAAGCTTAGGCAAGTTGAAATGTGTGCATCTCTCATCACTAGGTCACACTGATTTTTATCAAACACTGCCAAACACCTTTCTATGCGGAATTTACAGAAAAATAGCCAATATTTTAAGCATCAAAATGCAAGTTTCTCCATTGCTAAAAACAGGAATGCTATGAAATGTCCTATTTATTAAAAGAATAAATCCAAATCCTCCGCATCCTGGAAACACCATTCAGTCAGTGCAACACAATGCAAAAGAAACAGGACATTTCAGGAATAGGGTATAAATCAAAAAAGTAGTGCAAAGTGTAGGCACACCAATGGTGAGAAGAGAACTAGACAGAATATGTGGTGTTAGAATGAGTAAGGATTAGAAGGAATATTAAAAGGAATAACAACCAAGGGCTTTGGAAGCGCTAGGAAACCCCTGTCAGAGCTCAAGCCAGTCCGTAATGAAAATGGGTCAGGAAAAAAGTTTCTCCATGAACACAGCTGCCTACTGCAGGGTTCCAGGAAGCTTTCTATGAAGCACAGGGCACTAGCTACTTTCAGAGACATTTTACAGGGCTAGACATGCAAAGAGAAGTATTTTTACAACAATCCATTAAGGGAGTGTTTGAAAAAAAACCCCACTGTGAAAGTACAGGGTCCATAACTTTGTTGTAAATTTTACCTTGCTCTTCTTGAGAAATGTGGAGGCACTTTTCTCTTTAGTCCTGGCCTCAGGTTTGTGGTTCAGAGGCTTTGCAGAGCTTTCTTTTGCTTTCCTGTTGTCTTTTTTGGGCTATAGAACAGAATTTACAGATCCAGCATTAGAGTACAACAGTATACAATTAAGAACACCCTAAGACTGAGTCAGCATGAACACAACCTGTCATTGCATAAGAAACCACAAGTTTTGGGGAGTGACATTGAAGGGCTAGTGGAAGATATTGGATGTGACATTCAGTCTAGGGATGAGGACAGAAGCTCTTTGTGGCATCTATTTGTTCTGTGCTTGTAAAGCACATGGGGGAACTGCTATAGGGCCAGAGTTCCTTGGCAATACTCTAAATAATAAATAATATTGCCCTTTAGACACCCTCCTTCTACTTACATGGTGCTGCATCTCCCTCAGGATAGTGGGAGAATGCAGTGTTGGTATGAAGAGTCTATATCAAGGATAAGTAGGACATAGGGTTAAATCAGGGGTGGGCAAAATACAGCCCGTGGGCCAGATGCAGCCTGCCAGGCCATTCTATCTGGCCTGCAGGGCCCCTAAAATTTTTTGAAAATTAATATTTATTTGCCCCTGGCTGCCTGTCATGCTACTCTCAATGGCTTGCCAAAACTCAGTAAGCAGCCCTCCACCCGAAATCATTGCCCACCCCTGGGTTAAACAGTAGCATGTGGGTGAATGACTAAGGACCTCCTCATCAGAATAGCAAGGGGATACCACCTTTTGGCACATGCTCTAACTGGGATGACATGGCACACATTCAGGGAGCAGACTCTTGCTGCTATCCAATGCAGTATGTTAACGTTCAAAAAAATTCAACAGCTCCATCTGTAAACACACTGTGACCTATTCCTAAATTGCACATTTATACTTGCCATCCCAACACACTTAATTGCTTTGCTTTTTCATGCTATGCTTACTAAGGGGAAAGACTTGAAAAAGATGTGGCGAGTTACAGAAACCACTGGCAGGATGACATGCACACAAATACAAAACTTTGCAGTATCCCAAATCCTGAAGATGCCCACTGATGCAACTGAGGATGGATCGTGCGAATTCTGAGTCACACTGGATTGCTCTGTAATTTGTAAAAGCACATTGTGTTTGAAATTAGGGTGAGCTTGCTGAAGTCCTTTCCGCCTGTTATTCAGGTTGAGATTTAAACCTAAAATGCCAAATATTAGGCATTGAAACGGGTTTAAAATAAACCTGGTTGAATGTAGTATCAGACTTAACTGATTTGGGTCAAACCACTTTATGCAACTTCTGCCCCAGACCCCTTCCTGGTTTAAGTTAAATCACAGTCCTCCAGCATCCCAGCATTTTGCAGCCCTGGGCTGGGCTGTGCTGTCTGCTCCAGAGAGCAGGGCTGGCCCTGTCCCTCTGGTCCCTAGCTGAAGCAGTGAGGGTTGGTTCACTGGCTGGCTCACTGGACCTCCCTATGCCCTATGCAAACCCAGGATGCGGTCTGGGGTCAAGAAGGAGGTTAAAACACTCCTTCCCCCACTCAAACTTACAGTAGGCAACAACTGTGGACTACAAATCCCAGAGGCATGTGGAAGAAGGAAGAGGAAGTGATGGGCAATCCTGCAGAGTCCTGCTTCGGTAATTCTGGACTGCAAATCCCAGAGACCTCAGGGGCAGTAGGAAGAGGAAGTGGACACAAAGCCAGAGAGCCATGCTCTAGCGCTCCCTGGCTTGTGGCCTGAGCCACTGTAGGCACATGGCTGCATTTTCTGGATCAAAGGTAAAAGTCTGCTCACTTCTATTTCAATTTAATCAGTGCAGTTTAGCTTAACCTGCAAAGGCTGAATCAATTCAGCCTCGGGCTTTTTGATGGTTTGTACATAGCCTGTACAGCGCTTAGCACAATTGCTTGGGAGCACTGGGCAAACACGCCATGCAAATCAGTTACAATCACTTGTAACTGATGCTATTTATAAAACCCAAATGTGCACCCGCGTAGAAAGATAACGTCCCCTCCAGGGCTTACAAACCAAAACAAACACAAAGACAAAGCAGTGGAGGGATATAAAGTGCAAGCAAGACAAGTTATATGCAAGGACAGGGCATTAGCATTCATATTTACTGCTCTGCTTCCTGACTGCATCTTTATTTGTCCCTGTCTTTTAGGAACGTCAGAACCTCCTCTTCCCTTAAATTGGGATAAGAGGGGAAATGTGAGCAACAGCCATATAGCCCAAAGGATAATGGTGGGTGAAATGACACATTTAGGAAAGGAAGAATCTGGTTCCCTGACAAACATTCAGCATGTGCAAATATCCAGCTGCGTCCCCTGCTTCAATCACATCACCTACAAGATTTTTTTCACATTAAACTATTGAGTAAGCTAAAGTGTGGACTATAGGATAGGGCATCAGCCTGAAATTCATAAGGCCTGACTCTTATGAGATTGCAAGATTAAAAGCATTGTCTATATATCTTGAGTTATTTCAATTCAGTCCCTTTGACCACCACTAAAGGGTGATATAACTCCTTTATTTCCTACAACTCCAGTTCGAGCATAGCCCATCCTAAGGCTAATTGTATTAAGAACAAGGATATAACATTCATTTATGACACATACATATTCATTCTGACAGTTCTATAACAATGCAGCTTTATTTCCCTTGTAAAGGTTAATGCCTGAGATAAACTGTCTCATAACACCAAGCAAACCAATGGGCAAATGCAATAAATTTGCAGTTTAGAATATGGCAGGGTTAACTAACTGTTTCTTCTCTCATCAGAAAAATAAATTGTTCCAAAATGCAATTATAGCAATTACAGATTTTTTTCCCCTAGTGGAGGCAACTATAGACGTTTAGGGAAGCACTCACTTGTGTCTGCGTTGGCTAGAAAGGATACAGAGGTATTGAATGGAAAAAACAGAAGCTCCCTAGTCCACAAGACTACATGACTCACTCCAAGTGGCACAGGCTCCACAATAGCTTAGCAACCAACCTGACTCAGGGAAAAATGCACAGAGCAAATAGGTCAGATAAAAAAAAAACAACACTTCTAGATGTGGATCTGCAATGTACTAATTTGGCTCCAGGGAAAACTCATCAGCCACTGAGTCTTTATTACACTGGACCTTTCCATCATTTCCATTATTCTCAAGAATGAGCGTTTAAAAAAAACAAACAAACCATAGTGGTAATTAAAGGGAAATTCTAAGCATTGCTACTTAGATAAAAGACAAGAAGCCATTACCCGTCTGAAGATCTGCTGTGACTAACGGATACCTGAAGGACATACTTCTCTTATATTGCTAAAAAAAACAAACAAAAAAAAACCCCTCTGTCAGAAATACTTTATAGGAACGTGTGCAAATAGGAAACTTGACATGATCTTCACACATAGC